CACGGCCACCACAGTCATAGCTTTTTGGTGACTGATTCCAGCATGCCATGATGCTGCTTCTAGCACTCCACGGCGCTGCTTCCAGCACACGACCACCACAGTCGTAGTATGCAAAACCCGTTGCCTCGAGATCGCAACGCTCATCAGCCATGTTCATCGAGCTCATATTGTCATGACCGTCGCACACCTCAGTCACGGCAGCTCATATCCTCTCTTGCAGCGCGGCGGTCGCCGGCAGGCCTCACACGTGGGATCGTCGAGGTTCCCAGCAGCGGCTGCCTTGGCGCGGTGGTATGCAGTGGGCGGTAGCGCGTGAGAGAAAGGGAAAGTTCGCTGTGATTCGCGTGTGGATGACGTTCTCCAGCGAAGGGATAAGCGGGGAGAGAATTCCTTATTTGGCCCTTTCTTAAAATTTGCTTCCTTTTTAGACCCAAAAAACTTATTTCTTTCCTTTTTGACACATCAACTTTATTTTGTTCCCTACGTGACACTTTCGTCAGTTTTGGCTAGTAATGGCGTTAAGTCTGGCCTAAAAAGATTATTTTACCCCTAATGTTGATTGTGACCAGGTTATTAATAAATGAAAAAAAGTTATATGACTACTCAAAAAAATATTGTGGGGGACTAATAATAATATGATGAATGGAACAAGGACGACCCATTCAGCCTTTACTGTAGTGTATAAATTTGTTCAGATTAATCTTATGGATGATTTCCCGTAATTTTTTTATGGTTGATAAATTAGACTGAGCTGAGTTTGCACCTCAATTTGCTGCACACGTTTTATGCCACGTGTGTTTGACGAGAATAGCATTGTGGCGTGTGTTACAGAATAACTGATTGCAATTTGTGAGAAGCAGGAGTACAAGTACTTCTGTCTCCATCAAGTCCTTCCAAAACAATGTCTCCATCACTACCCATATACACACACGAATCAATAGGGTAGTTACGAGAGTAAAATCGAATCGATCCGATCGATTAAGAGTTAGCTTCTACCGGTCGCGTATGCACTCGTGACGCACCGGCTAGACGTGCGTGCACAATGCACTGTTCCAGGCAAAATCAACGGAGGTGCTAGCTAGCGTGCTTCTTGTGCTAGCTTTGCAAGTACGTGCGTGAGCAATTGGATGATTTGGTCTAGCGTTTTAAAAGCCAACTGCAGGTCGCAGGCGTGGTGAGGAGCAGAGGAGGAGAAAGAGGCTAGTGTCAGGACTCTGAAACCGGATGCATGTCATGGCGGGCTCCCGCGGATCAAGCTGCAACGCCAGAGGTAAAATTGTCTTTGTACATGCTATTTAACATCGCTGGATGGAAAAATGAATGAAAGTGTCCCGTAAGAAATAAAATGAAGTTTAAGTGTCAAAAAAGAAAGAAAGAAGTTTTTTAGGCCAAAAAGGAAGTAGAATTTAAAAAAGGGCCAAATAAGGCGGGAGGGAGCCGCGTACATGAGACCCAAAATGAAGTTTAAGTGTCAAAAAAGAAAGAAAGAAGTTTTTTAGGCAAAAAGGAAGTAAAATTTAAAAAAGGGCCAAATAAGGCGGGAGGGAGCCGCGTACATGAGACCCACTGGGCATGTGTCCAACACATAGGCCTGCGAAACGCACGATCGTAGTGCGCACACGACCGGCACAGGCCATAGCCGGTTGGTTGATTCACAACCCTCCCCCTCCCTCCCCAAAACGGAAATCATATAATTGGTGAATGTCAGCTATCTGGGATTTAGCAGCGATCCTCCCATCTCCCGCCGGATTCGTTTGCATGAATCCCAGTGCATGATCCTAGCCACGTCTGATACCCAAACCTGTTCGCCATAAGAAAACACGAGTGAACCATATTTCAAAGTACTAAATCCTGGCGCAGGCCTGGGTTCAAATCACAACCTCTCCCTTCCTTTTTTCACCAGATAGCATTTTCTCTAGGAAAAAAAATCAGCATGACAGTTTTATAAACTTTCAAACGATGTCACATGGCATTTTTAATTTATTATGCGAGATGCCATTTTTATTTATTTAAGAGATGTCATTTTTATATTAAGAGATAGCATTTATTATTAAGAGTTGGCATTTTTATATTGCTATAAGAAATGGCATTTTTATATTAAGATATGACATTGTTTTTATTATTATAAGAGATGTCATTTTGTTATTGCGAGATGAAGTTTTTTATTTAAGAGACGACATTTATTATTATTAAGAGATGACATTTTTTATTAAGAGATGGCATTTTTATTATTAGGAGATGGCAATTTTATTATTAAGAATTTTTTTAATTTTTTTAGATGGCATTTTTTGTTTACTAAGAGATGGGAACTTTTTTATCATGGCATTTTTTTATTTAGTTAATTCAACTTTTTTAATCATACTCATTTGTATATTTTATAAATTAGAGAGATTGCATTTTTTATAGTAGCCTGATTTTTTTGCATAAGTTAGTTCATGGCAATTTTTGGGTCTTTTTTTTGTTGATGGCATTTTTCTCTGAAAAAAAAAGTTAAACTAGGCCTGTGGCCCAATGGGGTCCGTCCCGGGACCTCCTCCTGGCGTTCTCCTGGCTGAGGGACGCCAGATAATAGGGTTCAAATAGAAAAGGTAGGCTACCAACTTTTTTTGAGGAAAGCGCATCCTGGGTTGTTTTTTTGGGAAAGAAAGCACAGCCTGCCTGCCTCTGGGCTCTGGTTTCCTTTGAAGCGAGTAGAAAGAATCCGTCCGGGCAGTCCGTCCCTGGGTGCAGCCTGGGTGTGCTCACGAGTCCGCCCAACAGTATGCACACACAACACAATTGACGAATGATATTTATCTCTTTTTTTACGAATGATATTACCCTATAAAACTTTGACGAATCATAAAACAAATGCATATGTCCCTAAAAAATAAGCATAGTTATTTTTCATTGTACTTATTCAACTCCAGTATGTGTGTCAATTGTAATTTTTCATTGTACTTATTCAACTTCTTTTTTTAGGGAATGTACTTATTCAACTTCATCATGTGTCTCAACAACAATCCTTAGGTGTGTCCCAAATCTATCGTCTCAACTCAATCGTGAGTTATTGAAACGATGGAGTTCGGCCTAGTTACCCTAAAAAAATTGGCCTATTTAGTTGTCTGGGCTGCATCTGATTCCCGGCCCGAATGAATCTCAAAGTAACAATGAGTCTGGCTGCTAGAGTTGTTTTTAAATACACGGTGAATATTTTTAAATACCAGATGATCTTTTTAAAATTGTCAGTGAACTTTTTTTATGTATGATGAATCTTTTTGTAATACATAATGAGCATTTTTTGTAGACACAATAAACATCGTTGAAAATGAATGATAGACTATTTTTTTAATATTCCCAAAACATATTTTTAAATACACAATGAACATTTTCCTTTTTGAACACTATGAAGATTCTTGAAATATGCAATGATCATTTTTAAACACAACAAACACAAACAAAGAACCATGTACTCCCTCCGGTCCTTTTTAGTTCGCATGCCTCGTAAAGTTTGACCAACTTTATAGAAAAAAGTATCAACATTCACAATCTAAAATCAATACCAATAGATGTGTCATGACTTAAAGTTTTATATTGTATAACTTTAGCATGGCAGATGTTCATATTTTTTCATATAAATACGGTCAAACTTTGTGAAGTTTGACTTCAGAGAATTCTAATATGCAGAATAAAAAGGACCGGAGGGAGTATATGTTAAGAAATAGAAATATATTTATAAGTGATGAACAGGAAAATAAAGTAGAAAAGAAAAATAAATAAGAAAATATTTTAAAAATGAGTTTATATTATGTAAAAGGAAACCACACAAAGGAAAAAGAAAAAAAAGGGCAAATGAAATTAGAGAAAAAGGTGAAAAAAACTCTAGACCCTAAATAGACCGAAAGAAAACAGTAGAAAACGAAAACAATGAGGGGGTGTTTGTTTCCACAGACTTTTTTGTGTAGGGACTAGAAAAAATCCCTCTTAGAGACTTTTTTACCAAACAGGAGGGACTTTTTAGGGACTAAATTAGGCATTTGGGACTAAATGAAGAAGACTCTCAAGGAGAGTCTTTTTGGGACTTTTTGGGACTTTTTCAACAATGCCCCTCCATGCACCCATTGACCCGCCACCCCATGGTATTGTTTGATTGTTATTTTTCTATATACTAGAGGCGACATGGTCATTTAATAACCTCTATGAAGGGATTAGGAACTTTTTAGTCTCTGAAAACAAATAATGAGGGATTTTTTAGGGACTAGGGACTTTTTAGTTGGGACTAGAAAAAGTCCTAGGACTAGAGAACCAAACACCACCTAAATCGACGAATGAAAATCGCCCATTGTTGGGTCATACACAACACGACCATGGGTGAACATGAGTTAGGACTCGCAATAAGACATACTCCCTCTGTCCCACAATATAACAACGTTTTTAACACTACACTAGTATCAAAAACGTTCTTATATTTTGGGACGGAAGGAGTATGTATCACTACACTCGTATCTCCTGGCACGACGGAGCGCGCCATCCCTTCTAGTTCTATAAAGATGACCAAGTTTCTTTGTAAAACAAATGCATGCACCATGAGATTTCAGATAATTTTTCACTAGATCAACTTAAATTTTTGTTTGGTTTCAGCACATTACGCTTGAATTCAAGCACTGTTGATCGCCTTTTTTTTTACCATTCCTATTGAGTTGCATATTAGAAAGAAAAAAAAAACTTCAACTGTGGCCCTTTTTCTGTATAGAAAAAATGTCTCCCTTCTCCTCCACAAATTAAAGTATTGTAGTAGTAGGAGTTAATCTAATCTACCTATGCCATCTCCAACTTGGTAGTACTGTTGTATGTATATCATCATTTGATCATTGCCTAATTACACTATTACAGTGTCATCTCAGCAGCTGCACCAAGCTTAGCTTACTGTGGAGTGCAGCTTGTCAAATCGACGTCATCGTCAATCGATCTATGCTGTTAGAAATCCATCCATGCATCCGACCAGAGAAGAAAGAAGCTGGCTACACCGTGGATGCGGAGAAGGAGGATGCCCCGGCGGAGCTGGCGATGGACCTGTCCCGGCGGTCGTCGCTCGACTTCCTTTTGATGGCCCTCTTGGCCTCCTCCTCCTTCATGTCCACGAACGTTATCAGATCCCTGATGCTCCTCAGCCGCTCCGGCCGCCGCACCGGGCAGTCCTCCGGCGGCGTTCCACCTTCGTCATCGCCCTGGTTGTACTTGCCGTACTGGCACAGTATCCTGGTGAAGAAGATGACCAATGCAATGAAGCAGGCGACGCCGGAGATGAGGAAGAGTCCCCAGAAGCTGCTGAGGTTGAGCCTGTCGGCCGCCACGTCGCCGCCCTGCGACGAGTCGCACTGCCCCGGGTTGAGCCACTTGTCGTGGATCCGCTGCAGGTCGCCGTTCTCCGACAGCGTCAGGATCGCCGTCGACAGGTCCACCGCCAGAGGCGAGTCCCGCTGGAAAGCCTGATATGATGCATCCATTCAGCAACAAAACAGAGCCATTAATGGGAAGAAATGCAGAATTTTAGTTTGGATCTTACGAATCCCCATCCGCTCTTGGTGAATTCTTGTCCCACGGTCTTGAACTGGCAGTTGGTGGAGAGGAAGAGGTCGACGTAGGGCAGCTCGTCCACGATCGCAGCGACGCCGCCGTTGCGCGGGCCGAGCTGGAGGCTGGCGGCGTAGTCGTCGATGGCAAGTTCCTTGAGCCGGGACTCCGGCACGTTGAGCTCCTGCATCATGTAGCTCTTGGCGAAGGACCCAACCTGGTAGCCGATGGGGTCGGCGCTGGCGAGGAGGCCGTCCAGCCCCTGGATCCCCGTCGACAGCTGCTGCACCGTCAGGATGGACGTCAGGCTCGCCGTGTAGCTCGAGTTGATGATGAGCACCACGAACAGCCAGATGATGAGCACGAAACGACCCAGAGAGCTCACAGTGTTCTCCCCTGCAAATGATTGAACCACCATTGATTTATCCAAGCTTCATCTCTTGGGAAGGAACAAGCACAAGCCAGATAGCATATAGCTTACTGTGCGCGAAGAACATTGTTGAGAAGCTGAACCAGAAAATGGTGACGAGCTGCTCGCGTGGGGATCCGCGGAACTCCGGGTTGAAGCGGTGCTCGAGAATCCAGACGACGGCGCCGACGAAGAGGAAGAAGGCGCCGGTGACGGCCCACATGCCCAGCGTGAAGGGCTTGAGGAAGGCCCACGCGTTGGAGCTCTTCTCCTTGACCGGCGACACGATCACCAGCCCGGACTCCACGTACGGCTGCGTGAAGTCCACCACCCGCGTCCGGTTCGTCACGATGGACACGTCGCCCACCGCCGCGTCGAACACATTGTTGGCCACCTTGTTCACGAGGTCGCTGTAGCTGGGGTTCTTGACGCCGTCGCCGAAGAGGATGAAGGACACGGGGACAGGGTACGGGAGCAGTGCCACGGCGGCCTTGAACACGTCGATGCAGTACCCGCTGGCGCCGTCGGGGCCGCTGTCCTTGGACACGAACTGCTTCTGCGTCGTCCTGTACGGCACGCCGATCCTCAGCGGACGGCCGTTGTTCGGGAACACCCACCCGCGCGGCGGCGATGTCGTCTCCCCAGGCCAGATCACGCTGTACAGCCGCTGCTCCTGCTGCTGCTGGCTGCTGTTAGTTTTGATTCGGAGCGGAGTGGGCGCGGCGACGGACAGATGCGAGTGGTTTGACCAGTAGCCGACCCGCCGGACGCCCGTGCCACCGACGTTGAGGACCTCGTAGGCGGGGTCGGCCAGGCTCCTGCCGTCCGCGGAGAACCGCACGCCGCCGGTGACGCCGGTGAAGTTGGCGAGCATCACCTTCTGCAGCAGCTGCTCCCCCTGGTCGAACACTCTGAGCGTGTCCAGCCGGAGCGTGCTGCTCCCGTTCACCTCCTGCTGCAACCTCGGGTCGACCGAGAAGGTGACGTTCCCCCCGTCCTCCAGGAACTCGTCGATGGCGCGGGCCGCCATCCACACGGCGTCGTACGCGGCGAGCCCGAAGGCGTTCAGGGTGGCGGTCCGGTTCAGCTGGGCGGCGGCGAATCTGGAGGTGAGCGACGTCTTGGCGCCGGAGTCCGGGGTGTGCTGGCGGAGCGTGACCACGCCCTGCACGAGGCTCATCGCCCTGGGATTGGGCGGCCGCGTGGAGTCGAGGGCGGCGGCGAGCCAGTCGGTGGCGATCCAGACGTAGCCGGAGGCCATCATGCCGAGGGAGCGCGCGGCGGCGAAGACGGCGAGGCCGGAGTCCGGGTTGACGTGGACGACGCAGACGCGGGACTCCATCATGGTGACCCGCACGAGCAGGTCGGCGATGGCGGCTTGGTCGGCGTCCGGAGGGAAGGGCGCCTTGAAGGAGACCTTGGCGCGCTGGGCCTCGAGCGCGTCGCCGAGGGCGTCGACGCCGCCGCGGCCGTAGTCGTTGTCGACGTAGATGACGGTGACCTCCCTCCAGCCATAGTAGGTGACGATGTCGGCGACGGCGGCCATCTGGGAGGAGTCGTCGCCGCGGGCTGCGCGGACGAAGTAGGGGTACTGGGCGGAGGCGAGCGCCGGGTCGGTGGCGGCGAAGGAGAGCAGCGGGACGTGGAGCTCGTTGACTACGTGCGACACCACGTGGGCGATCCCCGACGACTGCGGCCCCACCACCGCCACCACCTTCTTCTCCATTAGCTGCAGCGCTGCAGCGCCAACACCAACACCAACACAGGTCAGTGTCAACTCAACTGCTATGCTCTTCTACCATGGTTGATTAATTACAGTACTACTGTACGTAGTCATTTATAACAAGATACTAAAGGCGAAATGGTCTTTAATCCAAAATCAATACACGTTGTCAAGAAAAATGTTCAATGGCGATGGCACGGAACAGGGTATTCTCCGACTAATCCGTTGTCAAGAAAAAACAAATTATGATTATTATTTCAAAAAAATCGTCATGCAAAGTTCATGTGGCAGTAGGCAGGCTCCACCTCCACCTCCACGAGAGTCAACTGAATGAGGAGAGAGAGAGAGAAGCAAACCAAATTTCGGAAAAAGAAAGTGGATGCATACAGGCCAACAACAACTCGCGGAGGGATATTAGGAATCTCTAACGACAAAACTAATTGAGGAATCAAAGTTCGTGGTGACGACTAGTATTTGCTAATCTGATCGCAGCAAATATTTTGGGGGTATTAGAACTGTAGGAGGAATTATTATTTTTTGTTTTGGCAAGAAGAAGAAGAAGAAGACGACGACGACGAGAGTAGCTACTACAGTACCTTGGATGGTGCCGACGAAGCCGCTGCACTTGGTGTCCTGCGCGACTAGGCTGAGGTGCGTCCCCCTGAGGACTCTGGCGTCGCGGTTGACGTCGGCGACGGCGAGGTCGATGGCGGCCCTGGCGGACCTCCCGATGACGGAGTCGAAGGTGAAGAGGGCGCCGATGGAGACGTTGGCCGGCCTGGCCGGGCGAGCGACCGCCAGAAGGCTGCAGAGGCAGACGACGCGGAGCAGAGGCAGAGCCCAGCCCATCTCGCCTCGCCTCGCCTCTCGTCCTGAATCTTGATGAGGAACTATGCGTACGGCTATGGCCTGAGAGTGAGAGAGATATCAAGAGAAGGGAGCAAGGCAGCAACTCCACCCCATCGGCCAGCCATACGATGGAACGGATGGAGGGAAGAATTCCAGAGAAACCAGGGCGGAGCAGGGAGGATCGGGGGGGAGCAAGGTGACAAAAACGGCGTGATCCTGACCGGTGAAGAGCAGGAGAAAGATTCGACGGCGAGGAAAAATCAGTGGCGTGGGGAGGCGCAGGGGGGCGGACCGGCCTCGCTCGCCTCTGATTGATTCGTACGTACAATACTCCTGGCGCTGCTTACAAGTACTACTAGTGCTGGGAAAATGCGAGTTGGACGGGGACGACAGAGAGAGAGAGATACCGATGGAGACGTCGGCCGGCACTGGTGTCCTGTGCCTTTGTTGACTGCTCTGCTTCCGAATAATAATCTTGAGCAAAACGTGTTTGCTCGTGGGATCAAGCAAGCAGAGATGCGGTTGGGCGAATCTATTATCGACTACGTCCCCACTACTGCAAATGGCATTCGGTTCAGGGTTTCACGTCACCCATGCACTGCATTCATACAACTGTTACAGCACAGCACACCTACTACTTTGGGGGACTCGGCTCCCCTGACGTACTGCAGGGCGCAGTTGGGTCACTGACAGATGGGCCAACTTGCTTTCGGGCCCACCTGTCAGTGGTCCAACTGCGCCCTGCAGTACGTCAGAGGAGCCTCGTCCTACTTTGGGATAAGAAAGTTTTTGCTTGAGTTCAGAACAGTATCGACTTGTCGAGTGGTGCTCAGCGACGTATTCTCATCCACTGTGGCTGTGGCTGTGGCTTGGCATGGAAGCAAGCAGGCAGGCCATCTTCTTTCTCATCAGGGAACAAATGCTAGTGATTAGCGCTTTGGCTTTTCTGATCATTTTTCTTTCTTTCGCTTGGGAGAATAAAGCTGCCCACACCACTTTGTTGAGTGCACAAGCAAGATACTATGCTCATACAAGTACACATGGAGGGAAAGATGCACGTGCTGTCTGCTCTGCTGCCCCCAATGGCTCAAATCGTGCAGGCAGCTGGTTGTTTTTGCTACCCAATGGCTGCTGTTTCGACGCTCTCATGCAAAACCATTTACTACTGACAATACATATGCCGGACTTGTCATCTTGTTATTACATTATTAGGTAGGCTGTAGGTTTGGTAGAAAGACAATCATCAACTTGGTCAATTTGAAGTTAACCAATTAGTGATGATTAAGTAGTGCTAGCTCACAGATGGTACGCCCATCCTAATTACAAGAAATGACAAGTCAACTGGATCAATAGCTGCCTATCTGCAAGTGTGGATTGGATAGATGGGCTATGAAAGCTGGCAGTGGTTGGTTGGTACGACTGTTGCCTGAATACCTAGAGACAAGAATGCATGGGATATTTTTTTCTTCAGTCGGATATGATATGCCTGTCAAAAATAAATCCAGACGCAGCATATCGCTGTGTCATCATTAATTTGTAGGGTATCGCTGTGTCATGATTAATTTGTAGGGCACCCAGTCTCAGTCTCTCCATCAACAAAGATTTGCTTACTCTAACAGAAGCCATGCAGTATGCCAGGTGGATTTTTTTTTTGTAAGCTACTCCCTTTGTATCTAAACAATCTTATGTTTCTTTATTAGCGATCTAAATGATCTTATATTTCTCTACGGTGGGAGCACAAATTAATGTAAGCATCCCTGACATGGTGGCCTCACTTGACGGTGACCCTCCCAGCTCACCACCAGCGCCACATCCAACACGTCTCCACAAGCCCAACACGACAGTGGTTGGGCCAGACTGGGTGTAGGCGAGGCTCGGCCCATCGGTTGCCCCTACTTACCCCATCCCACAGAAGATGGTAAAGGATTGCCTAAAAAACAAGATGGTAAAGGAATCGAGTCACACGGCAACGGCTCGGCTGCTCCTCTCTCACCTACTTCGATTCCACATTTCTGCAGTCCCTGGTTCATACCTGTAACTGAGATATTCAATCCCAAATTTTGCGAGCAAGTGTAATAGATCGGGAGTACTCCATCTGGTACCTCACATATGGTATCAAAGGCTATACACCAACCTTTCCTAGATCGATCTAGCGTAATTCATGGAGACCCGTAGACTGCGGCAATGTCATCTCCAACTCGAGGCGATGGATCTTTCCATCAAGGACTATTTGGACAAGATCACATCCTCCATGGAGGAGTTCTGCGTCGAGCTGCGTAGCAACGCCAACGCGATCCGGGCCAACTCCGCCAGGCTCGATGATCTAGTCGCTTGGCGACCGGATCTTGAGAAGTGGGTCGTAAAAATCAGCGAGGCGGTTGTCGTTCCGCAACAAGGGCATGCGTCTGCGGCAACGGCTCGCGGTGTGGCAGCGCTTGGTGACCCACGACCGATCTAAACTTCACAACAACCGGTGGCCTCCTTGATAACTCACAAGTATAGGGGTTCAATTGTGGCTTTTTGGATAAATAAGAGTGTCAAACACAATGAGAAGCTAAAGGTAGAATTCATATTCTCTTCAAGTTCTATCGACCACTGATACAACTCTACGCACACTAGTATTTGCTTTACCTAGAACAAGTATAGAACTGATTTGCGAGAATAAAACTAGAAGTACTTTGCGAGGTAATAGAAGTTATTTTTTTAGTGAGAGCTTTTGTAGACAATGAGAAAGATTGTCCATAGGCAATTGAATATAACACGATAGATACTTATCATATGCAATGAGGAAGAGACATATGCTAACATACTTTTCGTATTTGGATCATATGCACTTATGATTGAAACTCTAGCAAATATCAGTAACTACTAAAGTTCATTAAGGTAAACCCAACCATAGCATTAAATAACAAGCCCCTTTACTCCATACACCACAACCCACTTATTTGTGTTTAGACTTATGTCACTCCCGCAACTGACAATAAGCAAATCATGAACATATTGCAACACACTACAACGGGAATCCCACACGTGTGCGTGGCACGGAGGGCACCATAGGACAGTACCGTATTAACATACAACTCATCAATCACACCGTACCACAATTAACCCGCAGGACAAAAGAAATCTACTCATACATCATAGGATGGCACCTATGAGGTTCCCACAAGGCAGGTGGGGCACGCCTTGGTGCCTTGTGGGGCCCTCGGGTACCATCTTGCGTTGATTCTTTCTACCAAAAATCACATATATTTCAAAAAACTCACCATAAATTTTTATCGTGTTTGGACTTCATTTGATATGGATTTTCTGCGAAATACAAAAGCAAGCACACAAGAAAACAGGAACTGGCACTCGGCACTAGATCAATATGCTAGTTCCAGAAATAATATAAATTGTTGCCAAAAGTATGTGAAAGTTATAGGATAATGGCATGAAACAATAAAAAAAATTATAGATACGATGGAGACGTATCAACATCCCCAAACTTAATTCCTGCACGGCCTCGAGTAGGTAAATGATGAAATAAAGATAATTTTTGATGCAGAATGCTACCTAGCACAAGCTTGATCAAAAATATAATCATGGCATGAATATTAGGATTCGAGTAATTCAAGGCAATGGTCTATCAATTTGATATTGAAACAATAATACAAAACATGCATGTAATTCGTCATTACCTTTCATAATAATGAAGCTAAAAAAGGAACCTCTATACATAGAGTTATGATAAGCATGACACGCTCAGTCTTCCTTGCATAGATATATCAAATCAAGAGTACCTCGGTGCCAAACCTGTCGGGGAACGTTGCATGGAAAACAGAAAAAAAATCTACGCACACGCAAGATCTATCCATGGAGATGCATAGCTATGAGAGGGGGGAGCATCTACATACCCTTGTAGATCGCTAAGCGGAAGCGTTTATCAACACGGTTGATGTAGTCGTACAACTTCACGATCTATACCGATCGACTAGCGAACGCACGACACCTCCGTGTTTAGCACACGCTCAACTCGATGACATCCTCACCTTCTCGATCCAGCAAGAAAGGAGAAGTTGTAGATGAGTTCCGGCATAACGACGGTGTGGTAACGGTGGTGGTGAAACTATTCCACAGGGCTTCGCCAAGCACAACGGTTTAGAGCGGAGGACGAACTAGAGGGAGAGGGGGCGCCGACACTCGGCTTGGGAATCATGGTGCGTGGCTCCCCCTCCCCTCCTCTCATATATATAGGTGGAGGGGGAGGTGAAGGAAATATGCCCTAGAGGCAATAATAAAGTTGTTATTTTATATTTCCTTATTTGTGATAAAGGTTTATTATTCATCCTAGAATTGTATTGATCGGAAACCTAAATACATGTGTGAATACATAAACAAATACCATGTCCCTAGTAAGCCTCTACTAGACTAGCTCGTTGATCAAAGATGGTTAAGGTTTCGTAACCATAGACATGTGTTTTCATTTGATAATGGGATCACATCATTAGGAGAATGATGTGATGGACAAGACCCATCTGTCAGCTTAGCATATTGATCGTTCAGTTTATTGCTATACTTTCTTCATGTCAAATACATATTCCTTTGACTATGAGATTATGCAACTGCCGGATACCAGAGGAATACCTTGTGTGCTATCGAACGTCACAACGTAACTTGGTGATCATAAAGATGATCTATAGGTATCTCCGAAGGTGTTTGTTAAGTTGGCATAGATCAAAATTAGGATTTGTCACTCTGAGCATCGAAGAGATATCTCTGGCCCCTCTCGGTAATACACATCATAAGCTTGCAAGCAAATGACTAAGGAGTTAGTCACGAGGTGATGTCTTACGGAACGAGTAAAGAGACTTGCCGGTAACGAGATTGAACTAGGCATAGAGATACCGATGATTGAATCTCGGGCAAGTAACATACCAGTGGACAAAGGGAATTACATATGTTGTCATAACGGTTTGACCGATAAAGATCTTCTAAGAATATGTAGGAGCCAATATGGG